TTCCCTATTTCTGCCATGCAAGAGACAGCTGCTTTTCCAGAGTGTCATATACCATTGCTCTAGATGCTGGAAAGACTTTATCTACCCTTCTAAATTTTGTTTGCTTAGCTAAAAAGGAAGACAGATGTCAGCCACATCATATTACTGCTTTATAAAATCAGAATTGTCACCATATCTGTTTATGCTTGCTTCTACCATATGTAGGATAATATTTTGTGAGGTACCTTGCTGTATCTATTCCCAGGGCTGTCATTGTTTGTGTGCCACCCCGCTGGCGTATTCTCGTGGCTGCAGCCATCACATCTTCTGTTGTTGAGTACGTATTCAGGAAAAATTCATGGACCACAGTCTGCCCATACTGAACAATTCCAACCTGAAACACACAGTTCATGTTAAAAATCAACTACCCTTAAAGAAAGCATCTCTGTCTCCTGCAGTGGGGTAAATGCCTGTCTGTACCTACAGCCAGGAAAAGGATCGAACTCTGTGTTTCCCTCACTATGAAACACTTGTAAGCATTTGAGCAAGACTGGCTAGAAGACAATTAATCTCATGAAACATGTTGAAGTTTCTAAATTGTTTTTATTAAAAATAGGAACAAAGCCAAAAGCAGGCTCAACTCCTTGCTCTTCCTGATGTGGCAATTTGTGCCACAGCTCTGCCCTCCTCTAGGTCAAGGCAGACCCGTTACAACTTCTCAAAATATTTTTCCTTATACCATATGAAGCCACAGTTCACTCACAACTCTCTTAATTCCATCCAAATATAATATTCCTATATCTGACAGTTTATTTACACTAAATCTAGCCTAGAAATGGCACTGCAATGACAAATTTAGGCCCTCAGGGTGGGAGGAAGATCAAAGTACCCTTATCTTGACGAAGACAGCTCTGGGCAGTCCAGGACATGGCTCTTCTCCTAGCAGGAGTTAAGCCAAAGTAAGACACCCGACAAGTGCCAGAGGGGACAATGTGAATAAAATGGTGGCTTCTGGAATGGGGGAGAATGATGTAAAGACTCTAGATGACCTCAGCAGGACAAGTCTTTGTGCAAAAGATCAACACATGGGATTGGAACCCAATCATAAATGTCTGAGGGAACCTGGTGCTAAACCAAGTGTGAAATAAAAAGATGAGCAATATTCTTAAATATTAATTAATTTCTCTCACCCATCTCTGTCAGTTTTAATGTTTTGGCAGGTTCCTGACAGCTTTTACCGGGAAGAATCTGCACAATGTTCCATTAGCATATTTCAATTTTATGTTACACACGGCAATTTATAGGTGTTATTTAGGATAATGCAGTATTACATGACATTTATGTCTCACTCATGTATTATTAAAAGCACTATAGCATTTAGGTACTGCAAATCAGTAAGACCTCTGGGATGTTTATGCCATCATATCATTTTAGAAGTGGCTTAGTATGTACTTTGCAATTGCTTTATAGGTGGTTTTTCAGGTACTTTTATAGCCTCAGATTCTGTACAATGTTTGTTGCAGCATAAGGGTTAGAGTTGGATAAATATTTAATACTAAACATCAATATCACAATCATTATGAAAAGCTAGTTAAAAATGATTATGGGAGTATAATTATAATGGTATATGTTGCAAAATCTATCCCACTTCATTTCTGTATATTTTGAAAATACAATCAAATCTGGAAGAACTGATGTAAGTTCAAAGTTATGACAAGCTGCTCACTTTTAAGGTATTTTAATTCTCTCTTGGAGGCGTGCCCTCTTCCACCTGCAGCCAAGAGCATTCAGAGGCTGCATGTTCTTGTGGGCAGCAAACCATTAATCTTGTACAGTGTTTACACAACAGGCTGGGGCACACACTGTATTAGCACTCAGAGAAGTCATGTGGCATCTACTCAACCAGAAGCTGAAGATTAAATTTTTAACCCATTCCCTCCAAGGCAACTATTCTGTGGCAGGCATCTAAAGTGACACACAGCATAATCTGAACAGCATGCTGCTAGTAATTTAAAAAGACTGCCATTAACTGGTGATAAATAAGAGGTTTTCATTAGGTTTGGTCTTTTGGAGCAGGAGGAGTGCCTCAAGTATTCCAGGACCACGCACAAGTGTAGCCAGAGACTATTGTAGGCCAGGGAGACTGCTGCTGTGGATTCATGGGCTCTTTATCTGCAGCTTCGAGGATTTTATTGGTACCAAACAAACAAACAAACAAACGGTTGGCTGCTGCCAGTCTGAAATGTGGCTGCCAGTCTTTTATGATTCTAGAGACACAGGCTGGTGCTGTCGTTTTCCTAAAAAAGATTACAGGCTGACATCTAGTTGTCTCATTTCCTATTTGAAAGGAAATGTTGTCCACGATCACAGCAAGTAAACATTTTGAGCATTTCCTTCTCAGGAAGTGAACGGGAAGAACATCTGAGTCTGGAAAAGTGCACTGCGTTGCATAGCCTGTAAATCAGGAAGGAAGGGGTGCATGTGGTTATCTTATGGGATACAACTGTTCTGTGGGACCCTTCCTTAGCACTGGCTTTGAAAACACTAATCATCATGTTCTACATAGTTCATGGCATCAAAGATGAGCCACTCCTTAAAAAAGGGTAATGAACAGCTTCCCAGAACTGACAAAATACTACTAGGCCACATGTTCGAGTCTCCTATAGAATCACAGAATCAAGTCCACCTTGTAAAATTACAACTGTATTCCGTTAGATACCAATGAAGGTTTGAGCTTTTGCAGCCTTTTAATCTAATGGAAAACTATAAATGACACATCTACATGATGCATATGTGCATTTATGGGACAATAAACCTCTTAAAACTGCACCTCAGCAAGACCCTAAGAATGATGCTTACAGGCATTGTATGTTTTGATTTGCTTGTTTAATTTAAATCTGGAAAATGCAATAGTACTACACAGAAGCATGTAATTGTGCTCTAATCCAGAAAACCTAACATTTTTCCCAGCATTACTGGCCATAATCTATTGAACATCTTTGTAATTCCCATGTTTATGTTCCCTTCCCTAGCATTCCATGGATTCTATATTACTCAAGGGAATAATTCTTTAATTGTCCCCAGTTCCTGTGAAAAAGTGTTGTATGAGAGAACAGGCAAGTGAAGGACTGTTCTACTTTGGGACAAAACATTTCTGAAGGCAATTATTTATTTTTGTTCTACAAGTGAATACAGCCCCTTATTTGGAAAGTACATTCTGGCTTTCCCAATAAATTATTAAGCTAATCTCTTTGGTAAAAAACAACTACAACAACAACAAAGAAAACCAAAATGAAAGAAAAACCATTTAGTACATGGAAATTATATGTTACAATTTTCACCATTTGGATGTGAAGGAAAATCAGAAATATTTTTGATTGTACTTAAATCATATTTAACATAAAATAAAAGTAGAGATGCCTTGAGAAGCACATATGCAGAGCTTCCTAAAGATACCTGAATAAAAGCAAAACTGAATTAATTCTGCTACATTTTGTTTGTTCTCAGGGACTCAGACAGAAATTACTTGTGAACTATTGCAAAAGTCTTTCTTCATCCAGAAGTTAATAAACTTCTGTTCTTCTGAAGATAAAACTGATGGTAAGATATGACATGTCATGACTTATTAGTCCACTGATACAATCCCTTTGCAGATATAATACGGTACAGGTCAAACACCTAGAAATGCCTATGTCATATGTTAATGGATAAATAAAACATGTCCGAAAATTTCTGAAGGCCGTTCCAACATAGCTATAAAGCTGGAATTGAACATATCAAAGTACTCTGCTTTCTCTTTTGATATTCTTCTACCACAGAAGGTTGCTCATATGTAAACAATTAAAAAACACACCCTCATATTGAAAAGACAATTATCTTAGGAAAAGATAAAAAAAAGGGGAAAAAATCTTGCTTTGCAGGTACATTAAAACGTGGAATAAGGCCAGGAGAAATATTTCGTTCCTACTTGTACCATTTTTTCTCATTTAATTCCTTCTTCCTTTTCCACTTTTCTATCACCACTTCCCCTTTATTTCTTTTATCTCTAAGCTCAGGATATGCAGTTTAACCATCAGTATGGTGTTGTGGATTTTCTGGAGAATAGAAAGAGAAAGGGAAGGAAATACTTCAGAAAAAATTATACAGTCTTTGGTTTTTTGCATCTGAGTTGTCTGGCTTTCACTTTCAAATTTGCCAATGGGACACTGAGGAATTTTCTTCTGACTTGCTACAAATCTAATGACCATTGTTCATGGAGGGGAGAGTGGAAAAAAAAATCTTGCAAGCCACTAATCAAAATACAGTTTTGAACAAGTCACACCCAAGCTGCTAAGGAGTTATTCTGTAATAATCTCATTCCTTTCCTGTGCAAGTGGAAAACAATCTGAAGACAGTGAAAGTCCACTCATTTCTACGTGCTCACAATCCCCAAATGATGTACATGGAAAAATCAGTTTAAACAGACAGAAAATAAACTATTGTTCCTGTATTTCTACTCTGTGTCCCCAGAGGAGGGGAGAAATAAGGATCGTCTTCCCCATTCAACAGTCATTTAAACACAGTTTCTGAGAAAGGAGACGGTGCGGGTGAAGGAGACAGTATAAACTCATTACTACCTTTGGCTCTGCCAGGGTTCCCAAGCAGGAAGCTTGGAGAAGAGGAGAGAGATGGGATACGTTCCAGGCAGGGGAGAAGGTAAGAGGAACCAAGAAAATTCCACCTAGCTTTTGCCTTCCATTTCCATTCCATTTTTTCAGCCTCTCTCCTCCTTACTCTATTCTTATCACCCTCTCAAATGTTTCAGGTTTGTAGCAAACAGATGCCAAAGCTTACATTCTTGACTGAATACGTGTATGTATGAGAAGAGGGTAGCTATGCCAAGTTGCAGGTAGAATGGATTCTGTAGGTGGAGATGACAGGCCACTGGAGTGCAGGCCAGCAAGGGACCTTTTGTGAGTGAGCTGAGCCACACAGACAAGGCAGAACTCCAAAACCAAACATAACAGAGGTAGGCAATGTAAAAATTTAGGAACTGAAGGGTGAGGAAGAGGAGTGAGGGTGCAGTAGCGTTGATTGCCCTCTGGACTATTCCCACTGAGCCCTTTGGGCAGAAGTTAGTGATGATTTCCATGCAGCCATTGTCCTGTAGTGGGAAGTTCAGGTTTAAGTATTTTCCCAAGATGGCACATGTTTGAGTAATCACCACCTCAAGGGACCACGAAGAATTTTTAAACTTGTTTTGCTTTCTGTTAAATTTGACAAAGTGGTTTTTCTTTCTTCCTCACAATATCTGGAAGAACAGTGTGTTTAAAGTAACAGGACACAATTGCAAAGTTGACAGTTTATAGGTAATAATTTTATCAGCCAGTGTTCTGTACAGCCAACTAGGGAGCTGGGTGATAACTCACAAACCCCAATTAACTTGGAAAATGATGGGGATACTCTCTGCCGAGAGAGGTATCCTTTACACATCCTCACAGTCTGCTTTGTGAAGGCAGGAGCTGAACATGAGAAGCTAACGTGAAATAGCATAAAACTCTAAGTATTGACCTGCAGCATACCAAATACCATACAGAATCCCAGAAAATCCTTGATTTTGGAACACGGAAAAGGGAGAAATGAAAGGAAGACCCAATTTCTTCTGTTGCTGTTAATAAAGCTTTCTGTGTTAAAATGTATCCCAGTGTCCACGCTTCCCTCTTTCCCCAGTTCTGCTGGAATTGGTATTTACATACTCTGTTCAGCAGACTGTGAAACATGTCAGATCCTCAGCTGTGGTAATTGGTTGTAGCTCTGTTAATTGTGGTAGAACCACACTGATTTATAGCAGCTGGGAATCTGGCCCTCCCCACTTACATAAATGCAGCTTCTGCCATTAATAACATGCAACTTAACAGCCACTCGTTAATTATGATTTCAAATGTTTAAAAGCTGCGTGCTCAGTGCTTCACAGTACAAAATATTGAACGCTGCCCCAAAAAGCTTATAATCAAAGGTGGTCTGAATCACACATGTGTGCCTTGGAGAAGCAGAAATTACTTTTGTGCTAAGTACAAAAGAAGAAAAGAAGTGGTTGTGGAGAGGAAGGAAGTGGGAAAGGACAATGTTCAAATGGCCTCACTTAATGCACGTAACTTTTGTCTCTAGGTTAGCAAGTTGGATTCTCCAGACTGCCTGACTGGCGAGGGGAGAGAGAGCCTCCCTGACATCACTGCTTGGCGGCAGACATTGACTTAGTTGTGGTTTCAGCTATTCTGTTTCAGTACCCCATTGCTGTAAGTTCTTGGAACTGAAAAGCCCCATAGATGACACTCTCATCCCATTTCCTGTAAATCCTTTTTTTCCTCACAAATTAAATAACCATAAAATATCTACCATGTTACCTGTGTTTGCTGAGGACCTATATCCATGTTTTTCAGGAGGCTGTTTAGGAAGGCTGTGACACTCTCCCATGGATAAATGCTGTTGGACCCATCAAGGACTATGACAATGTCCAACTGGGTTTTACAAACTGCAACACAAATTGTCACGTAAGAATTGATACTAACAAGCATCAAATATTTCTCATAGCTCCAGTTACTTTTGTGATTAGTAACAAATGCATATCCTTCTGCAGTGGGGCTGAACTGATATGTTGGATACCAACTGTCATTCATCAATTTTGCATCATAGTTTCATGGTTTATGTTCCCTTTAGCAGCAAGGTACTCTCTTGTAAGCAGAACCTTAAGAATGCGATTAGGACATCACATAACTGGAGTATTTACCAGTGACCCCTACATTCTTCAATGTCAATCTGTTCCTTTTTGATTTTTCCAAAGGACCTGGTCTTTAAGATCTTTATCTATATTACTAAATTTGGTTTGTATTAGGTCTTAACATGACATCATTATTTAAAAAGAGTCTTTTGGTCATAAGTAAAAGACATAAGTAACTATTTTTAGCAATCGTGTTTGGATGTTACATAGCGCTTCAATGATTGTTTATACTGAGATAAATTCCAAAAGTAGCAAGAATTTAGGTTATATACGGACAATGAAAACATTTACTTAACTTGGTAATGCCAGTAAGTAAGTTAAGCAGTTCATATTTTTTGGTATGCCTATGTGTATACATTTGTCTTGTTTGGCACTTTAAATTTTTGGACACAAAAGAGAATTCCTGTGGCATGCATACCTTGAACAGACGGAGCAATCGCCTCGATGGTTTCAAAAGTGGAGCTGACATTAGAGCAAACTCCAGTTGTATAATGCAAACGCCCACATTTATAAGCATAAAGTGGTCCACATGCCTTTAAAAGATGAAAAAGGGTGAAATGTTTCTGTTATGGTACATGAGGAAAAAAGAGACTACTTTTAAATTTGCCAAAAAGTCCTTTCTTACCAGAAAACCTCCTTTTGGGTTAGTCACTAAGGTTGTTCCAAGAGTCATGTTTTCTTTTACTTCCACGACGTTAGGAACTGAAGTAGCAGCTATAAATAGATTAAAATGTTAAATATTTGAGAACATTAAACCAAAATGTTAAAGTATATATCCCCTGGCATGGAGCTTCCAGCTTCTAAAATAAAACCCAGACTGATACTGGTTTCATTAAATATTTTAGCACCCTTCCTCCTCCTTCAATTGCAACAATCAAGAAAAGTTTCTGAGACTGGCTTCTATCCCAGAAAATTTGTCTGGGTTGCTGTCTCAAATAGTTTTCTCGAACCACAGAAAAGAAAGTAAGTAAAAATAACAGCACAACGAAAGCAAGAGATTACTGTTCACACACTTTTGTTAATTAGAAAACAAACATTAATTTTTTACCCTGTCCCACTATAAATGACTTAACAGCTTTTAAATTTGTTACTGTTATGTTACATTACTAATATTTAGGTTTTCAAGGGAAAAGAGGAGACAAAAAATACCACAACAGGTGTATTTAGCAAAATTCATATTAACAGGAAATCTCTTCCTGTCTACATTGCATATCTCTTGACATGAGCAAGAAAATTATTAATATTTACCTGTATTATATTAAGATGCAACAACCTGGTTCTAGCTAGTTACATTCTCCTCAAAAGCTTACTGATGCCATTATGAAGGCTCTCGCTGGCTTTAGAGAGCTTTGGAAATAATAATCCATGAATCTATGCTCCATAGGTGTTCTAGCTCCATGGCCAGGACTGCCAACCACAGTCTATTAATGACAGTTTTGATAAAACAGCCAAATGCCCATTCTAAAATTATGAGCATTTTCTCCATAGGACAATGGGAAGCTTTAAAAGAAAATTATTTTTGATGCTACAAACACAACATCCTCCACATGTAGCTCTGGAATCCTAAGTAAATTTTCTCCATAGTAACAATCCTAATGTATATTTACTAGCTAAAGATCTCCTAAGACCTGACCTCTGTTATTCCTCCATGCGACACAGCTTTATTTTCTTTCATACCTGGTAAGTTCAGTTTTATGCAGGGTGATTGGTTGTCCCTTCCTACAGGGCATTTGTATACATCTCCTGTTCTTTTCTCAGGTTGGCCGACTAATGGTGAACCAATAAGTACCCTGCAAATGAAATAAGTTACCTGAAATGTCTTCTTTCTTAAAAGGCACATAAGTCAGCAAATAAAACTTACAGAGAGAGCACAGCTGCAGCAAGCTCCACACTAGGAGTACAGGATGGAGAGCAAGAAAAGTATCTATTTTGATAGTTTGGGTACAAGCAAAAGCAGCCATTCTGTCTCCTCTTTAATAAGGACACAGAAAGGAAATGTGCCTATATAGCAAATTACAAAATAGAGTAAGATTTTTTAAAATTCCATTGGAAAACAAAAGCAATATTACTGGATGACGAGTATTAGAAGTAATATAGAAGGAAATATCTGGGTTTTTTAATACCTCCTTGATCTTTAACGTATTTTAGAGGAAAATGTATTTTCAATGCTGAGAGACCAAATGACAAAGGAGAGGCTCACAAGCATCCCAAAGAATTCAGTCTTAACTAATGCGAGCCAGCAGTGTAAAATACATAATTTTTCCTCTAATTAATGAAAAATAATATTATTAAAAGGATTATTAAAAAAATCCAAATTTAAAAACTGTTAAGATTTAAATTCTTTAAAATTTTTTTTCAGAATTTGGTCTGATCAAAAATCACCATTCTTCTATAGTACTTTGTAAGCATCACAAATTAACATCCCCTCCTAAATCCAGTTTTCAGCATGAAATGCTGTTTAGAGACAGACACTGATTTTGTTCTCAAATCTTCATTAGCTACAATAAACAGCCCAGCATTACCCAGCAGATAACAACTGGCTCCATTATATGTGTAAGGAAGAACTTGGATTAAATTAGAAATCACAGCACACACTGGAAACAGAAATCCTGCCATTAAAAGTAATATTGCAGTAAGATTTACTCCTGGGCACTTAGATGATTGTGAAGAGTTATTGAGAGAACCATTTCAACCTTTAATCATAAATTAATGAGTCCAGCCAGAATATATTTGAATAGAATGACATAACAGGCAAAAGGTAGCCTACAGATTTAATAAAGACGAAAAGTAGAATTTAAACCCACTACACAATCCAGCCTGTAAAAAAAACCATACTGGAATAGCTCATTGTAATCCAGTAAGATTTTTTCATTAATAATAAATAAATTATTTCTAAAGCAAAATAAAATTATCCAAGTATATCCTGAATCTGTTTTTTCAAGCTATATGTTGTAGTGTATGCATTTTTTACATGAAAACGTACAAACAGGCACCACAGCCTATCATGCATTCTTGACTTCCATTTAACTGCAGAGAAGCTGAGTGTGTTTGACATCCCACGGGAGATCAATGTTGATCAATGCTCAGCAGAATCACGTCCCTGTACTGTTCTTTCCTCAGAAAGGAGCCCCGTGAACAAAAAGAAGTAGTCTGAAAGGCTGTTTTGTCATTTTTTCATGGGAGATTTTTTAGGGGACACAAGTTTTATCGAGAAACAACCGCAGTCAGTTTCACAGCACACTTGTTCCTGAAAAGCTCTATCTGTGGCATGTAGGTAGTGTTATAGCAGTTGATAAAGCATCAAAAGGCTGCTTTATATATTTAACTGTTAACCTACAGATTTGCTACTCTGGATGTTACTAAGCTGAAAGCAACTTGAAAGCTTGACAATTTAACAGCAGCTCTGGAGTTTAATTTCAGAGATGTTCAGATCTAGCACACTAGTTTAGATTCCTTCAGCTACTGGAAGAGTATTATTTTTTGCTCTTGAAAGTTTTCAGGCCAGTTTACAACACTACAGCTTACTTTACAAGATCCCAGCTCATAGAGTGGATATCATTTCCTGAAGGCTTAAATTAGCTCAAAGGAGGTCATTATTATTCTCCCATGACCCTCATGCAGATGTATATTTAAACATCCCGTAAGGTGGGCAATCAAGAGATAGCATTTTCAAAAGCAGGCTCTGCAATTTAATTCCTGAACATCGCCTATGGTTAATGGTGAACACTGTGTTGCAGTGGTGGACAGACTCTCAGAGTCGGACAGCCCCAGCACTTGCAGAGGGCATTGCTCGGGCACTGCAGGACACTCTGACCTGGCTGTCATGCAGCCACATGCCTGTTGTTCCAGACTGCCCATTGGAGTCCCTGGGTTTACCGAGAATGTCAAATTACTGGCAAAGCTCTGGGAAAACCAGAGCAATCTGGAAAGAATGACCGAGAACTCAGGATTCCCAAACCTTTTAGCACTCAATTGGTAATTCAGTCCTTCAGCCAGGGGTCAGCCTATGAAGGTTGTTTTTATAAGGGAGAAGCATAAGCAGGTTCTTATCAAAAGACCAAGAAGCAATACCAGTAAGCATGCCAAAATGCAACTTCTAGTTCAGAACAACAAGAAGGAAAAGACAGGTTAAGAAGGCAGCTCCAAGTCCCAAATGTGAATATATTACCAATTGCAAGACATAATTAGCCCTCCAAAAGGGAAGGCGGAGTACCATATTAATACGTACTTTGATAAGGAAATCTTCCTACAAGTTAAAAAATTCAGTACAGACAAGCTCTGACAGAAAACTTTAGAAAAAAATGCATAATACATATTAGTAAGGTAAACCAAGACCAATTTCACTGCCAATACATTAACAAGGAAAAGATAAATATTTTATTTAGTAAAAGGAAAAAAGAGGGCTTAGGCACAACACAAAACTTTCTTGGCTCCATCAACTAAGGAACTTACCCACTTTGTGAACTCATTTATGTCTTTGAGGAAATAAATGCAGATATAAATTTGGATCTTTATCTTTCAGTCTCCCAGTCTTTCCAGGTTTCATTAGGACTAATTTAAGAAATTAAGTTTAAGAAATATGACTGACAGAATCTGATCCTTACTTATCGGGTATACTTACAAATAATAGTATAGCACCTGAGTCACTGAATACCTGATAATTTGGAGTTTCCATTAAAGAAAAGAAAAACAGCTTACCATTTCCCTTCCTCATTTTCATACTGTTGGACTGTGTACCCAAACATGTCTTCCAGGGGGCCACTGAAGGTCATTGCATTTTTCACATCAACATTGGAAGAGCCGACGAGGTGAAGGAGAGCTTGAAAAAAAAGCAATATGTAGCAATACAAATAAACCCCAAGACTTTTAAGAAACCAAGGTTCAATTATTACTTAACTGGAGGTATGACACAGGGGTTGAAAGTAGCATGTTGGGCATATTTATCATAGCTGGTAAGAGATTTAAAACATACTTCCTCACACACACATACATAGCTAAATTCAGAGATGTTAGCAACTGTATCCAAACCCTATTTTGCAAAGTCCACCACTTATTTATAAATCACAATTCAAATAACATTAAGCAAAATATTATTACCTTTAATAGTAAATAAAATAATGTTTTAGTGATTTTTACTGCTTTTAGCTCCATGCATTTCTAATGTAAGAATTTTACACAAAATATTCCCTTATTCAGGGTAGTAGTTCCCAGGTTTTCATAAATTTGAGAATTAACTAATTTTCAATGGTTTGCAGAAGACACACATAGGAATAGAATGAGGAAAAGGTTTTAATTATAATCTATATTAGAGAAAAAAAAGCATATAGTTTTCCCTTAATTTTATTCTAGAGTGCCTGTAAGCCTTTCATATTTGGAAAAGAACAGAATAAATCTTTAATGCAACCAGATGCAGCCATCTCAAAAGTACCCATATGTGACTATTTGCAGAAATCTTTTACCCAGTTAGGAAAAGTTGCTCTACAATAGTAGTGTGGGACTATGATCAGATCAGTCATGACAGCAGCTGCTTCTTCAGACCGATTTCCCATACCCTAAAGCTCAGTGATCATCATCAGGGAAAATACTGTAAAAATACGACTGTATAGCAAATTTCAGAAAAAAGAGGATAAAGGGTGAAAACTTAAAGTGATAATCATAAATCACTGTGAGGCTCATTAAGAAGACAAAATTACTATTTATGTATAAAAATGCTATTTATCTTTCCTTTATTTTTTATTTCTTACAGTGATCTCTTCCATCTTTGTCCTGTTGAAGTCAGTTTCAAAAGCAACCACTGACTCTGCTGCTGCAGAGCTGTGTATTTAATTCACAAGAGCCAAAAATTAGTTGAATTTGTAGAACATCAAGACTATTTAAAAACACAATTATAGACAACTTTCATTTAATTTCAAAGAAACATTTCATGAATATTTGCTGACATTTAACAGTCACACAAAAATACCCAAATCTATAATACTTGTTGCATGTCAAAGCACCTAAATAATGTCCAGTTACTAAAATACATCTGTTTTATTCACCATTGAGACAATGATATTCCTATAAAAAGCTTGTTACTATAATTAAGCTCTCAAGTGGTCAATGCTCATCTGTCTCTCTCAGCATCTCATTTCCTGCTTAATGCAGTAAAATTATCAAAGAAGGCTATTTATCACTTAGTAGGTATTTCCAGTTTCACTGGACAGCAAAAAAGGAAAAGTTTAATTTGTGTTATTTTAATTTTTCTTCCTCCAGTCAGAGTCAGGAAATATAAAGAAATGAACAAACTAAACCAGAGTTTATTTTTATTCTTCAGAAAAACTTAATTGGAAATTATAAGAAAAAAATAATGGCTGACGGTCTGATGGGAAGTAATTTGCTGGAAAAGCAATCCATGCATCTTCTGTCTTCCTTAAACATTTATGTTTAAAGAAATTCTGCTATGCCTGATTATGTGCAACAGGTGTTTTCCGCTCCTACTTTCGGTCAGCAAAGAACAATAAAAATCAACAAAATCGATTTTTAAAAATTCAGTCAAGTTAGCACTGGTTCAAAATTTCTTTTGTTAAATTTCAGAGTAAAAATAATATAACAATATAATAATATAATAATACAATAATAGCGTAATATCATAATATCTTAATATCATAATATAATAATATAAAAAACAATAACCTTCTAGACAACGATACGGTTCTAATCAGATTGCCTGCTAAAGTTAGGTGTCTAAGTTCATTATCTAGTTGAAGAATAAAGGTAGATAAAAAATCTATCCATGTCGACCTGCATGTTAAAGATGTCCAGAAGTCTATTCACTTTAACCTGAATAAGATGGACAGACTGTCCTTCTAGAGGTCTTCAGAGATGTGGTTTTCTCCCTTTCTCACCTTATGATATTTAAAACATACTACTATATGAAATATTAAAGGCCACAGATTCCAGCTTATCTCTTCCAATTTACCTTCTCCAAGCTACCAAAGGTTACACATGAACTCTGTGCTCTGTACACTCCATCATGATATCATCCATTATCATTCCATCATCTGATGATAAGTCAAGGAATTTCTTCACAATGATGCAGTATTGACAACTATTTTGATTTTTATTGAGTATTCACCATACTAAATGGTTTTGAAATTTCCTGGTCTGTTATGCGATATACTCAAATCTCATAATTTTAATGAATACACTTCCAATTCTCATAGCTATAACAGCAAGTTTGAAAATGTGAAATGCTAAAACAAGCAAACTAGAAGAAGAATAAAAAATGCCAGCTATTTGTTACTAACCCCCTAAATCCTTGTGCTTCTGAGTAAGGTCAAATTGGAACCAGCATTAATAATGTGTTCTTATGAAAAATAAAGCTAGAGGAATTAAAAGAAGCTAGATGGGCCAGACTGGTCAGAAATAAAAATGAGGTGACTCCACACAGCATGGAATAGTCCTGTAGACCTTGCTGACAAAGGATGTTTTGGATGCTAAATGTTATGTATTCAATGAGTAACTGAATAACTTAATGGAAGACAAAACCACTGCAGGTTAAGAACCATAGAGAATGCACATCTGGTTCAAGAAATCCCCTCAGCTGGAAATATTCGGAAACTGGAAGAGGAATATTATATATGCTTACTGAGTTAAGTTTTATCTCTAGCTATTGGCTTACATGTACTCCTGCAGACAAGATACTGGACGAAACACGGTCTTGATTTGATCCAGCACGGCTATCCTTTTGCTCTCTCATCTTCCCATTCTATCTTAGTTAGAAATCAGATGCTTTGAAGTTTGACTTCATACATAAACTGTGCGGCATATTTTAATATGCAGATATATTACATGACCTTCTGTGGCTTCCATCTGCTATGAAACATCACAAGCATAATGTTTTTGAATAAAAGTAAGGGTCATGGTAAGCAGTGTAAGATTAACTTATAAATGATTAAGAGTTATTAAATAATTAAAGGTTAGTAAGTTTTCCACAGATTCTGTAAAAGGAAGTCTTATAGTCAAAGACATGTTCAAACCTGCAGATTGAAAAGTGGATTTTACAGTGACCCACATTACACTGTTAACTAAATTATGGCAACCTTTCACAATTTATTTCATTTTTCAATATGAAGAACATTGTACACACGAGCTGATGATTCAGAACATTTAAAAATACCACTGATTGTGACTGAAAACGATACTCCACATTAATAACAATATCTAGCTTGCACTCTTCCAAAATTCCAGTTTCTAAGATGCACACATTCTCTTCTTTCTCATCTGTTTCTAGCAAACTTGTGTATTAGAATTACAAAGACTATTGGCAGAAGCAGTGGAAAAAGAAGAGCCACAGGGAAGTTAGAGAGGGTTATTTTGAGAGTTATGGGGATTAAGGAGAAAAAAACCATTTTTTGTAAGGTACATATACTTAATGACAATTAATATAGGTAAATTAAATTAAGATTTTGAATTACTTCGTGTTGTGTTAACAGAATGACTAAAAATACAGGTCAGAAATGCAGAATATAAATGTTTATCAAAAGATAAACCTGAAGTTTCAGCTTTTAAATTCATGTTCTACAAGAAATGAGGCAGTGTAGAAAACCTGGGACAACATCCCTCTCGCTATTGGTTTAAGCTGAGGAGAACACTAGCTGATGCATGCAGCATTCTTTGCTGAGCACAGTTTGTACCTATACGTGAAAGGTTAACACTCAGTCACCAAGACAACAACCCAAATATTATTTCTATTACAAACCTGAAGCAGTAGCTCATACTTGTCCAGTAGCCACTAATAAATTTTTTTTGTG